GTTCAAGGAATGGACATTTAAAGATTTACATGTAATTTGGTAAAAAATAAATAAATAAATGTCTAAAAGATTTATTAATTTTACATAATTTTATCTTTAGTGGGTAGAAATAATTTTTTAAAATTCAAAATATTTTTTTGACATTTATTTTTTAAATTAGTTTATATTTTATCAAATTGACAATTTTGTCCTAAAATTAAGTAATAATATTTTCAATTGTCCTTATTTGAAATAAAATTCAAAATTGAGGATCAAATGTATTACAATTGAAGAATCAAGCAACAAAATGACACAAATTCCAAACTATAAGACCGTTAGTGTAATTTGCCCATGAATTAAATTGAATTGAATTTATCTAAATTCGATGGCCAAGCTCTTCAAATTCATTTAAGTCAGTATCAGACTATTGCAATTATTATTTTCTAATTTCTTTTTCACTTTATTTTTTTATACAAGTTGTCTTTTTCTTTTTTATTTTCGCAAGTCATGTGGTTTGATTAAGCCTTTAAAATGTAAAAACATAGCTAGTGGGTTCAGATATGATCAAAATCACTTTGTTTAATCTAAACCAAATGTTAGGTCTATATTCATCCAATCTATTGTTGTCAGACTCTCATCCAATGAGGACTAAACTAGGCGTACGTATTAAGTATAATAAACTAAAAAAAATAATACTTTTTTTTTTTTTTTGGGTGAATAACACAGAAAGAGTTTACATTTATTAAATTGTTTATATATATATATATATGGATTTAATTTAGCTTAGAGGATCAAAGAAACTTGCATTTTTTCAAAGAAAAAATTAATTGATTGACAGGCCATAGCTTATAATATGACATCCAATCTAGTCAAGTTTGGGGTGGTCTAAAAAATAATACTCAAATCCAACTGACTTTGCTTTACTAAATATAGTTAATTTGGTACTTATATTTGTGTTTAAGCGGGCCTAAAATAGGAGAAACTCTAAATTTAAATTACCAATTAAAAAATTTACCAAGTTGAATTATTTAATTTAATTCAATTCAGTTTATGAATTCTAATATATTAATCATGCATATTCCATTCACAAAATATCATCATAGTAATAAATCAATCAATAAAAGATAGTAGAAATAATTAATTTACAACGTGATCAAAGTGTCTAGGTGTATGGCTTTTTAAAAATATTCAAAGAAAATTTTATCAAATCTTTTCTTTTTCAAAAAATTAGATGGTCTTTTTAAAAAATACACTTATCGTCCATTCTTTTAAAAACAAATATAATAAAATAAAAAAATTTATGATTATTGGATCAACTTAATTTTTTTTATGAATGGTAAATGAATGTTCTGATCATCGAAACGGAACTCGTGGTGAGCCCCACAAACTTTAACATTTCTCTTATTTGAATTTAAGAAAAACTCAACCCTTTGTATATATCTTTGCATTTATCATACTGAAAAACAATGACCTTATTTATATGTTCCAAGGCAAGTCTCAGGAGTGTTCAAAAATTGGCATGCCCACTGGGGCTGGCTGTGGCTGCGCGTATAGGTTGGCATCAGTCGAGGCTTAATTGGGCCCCAAAAATAGTTCTAAGCCCACTTGTGAGCTAAGCCCATATGCGGGTTGGGTTAGCCCGCATATCAAAACTTTTGGTCCAAGTCTTCTCCAACAATCTTGGCCTAAAAGGACTACCATCAAGCCTACAGGCGAACATGTGCTTATTTTCTATCCTATGGTTTGGAGTGCTTGGACTGATCTGTTGCAGTGGTGGGGGGTTCAATGGGTAGTGTCTGGATCAGTTGAAGCTCTTGTGTAGTGGTGGACAGGGAGCTGTTACAGGAATGTTGAAAAGAGGATTTTGAAATGCCATATCCCTGGTGGCATTTTGGTCTATTTGGAAGCATAGGAATGAACGTGTATTTCATGGGAGTCAACCAATGAGGAGGGAGCTGCATAATCTCATAGTTACCAGGCTTGGATTTTGGTTGAAAGTTGCAAACAAGGATTTCCGTTACTCTATCAATGAGTTTTTGTACAACATTAGGCAGATTACAGATTGTATTGGAGGTAGGGTATAATGAAGTGTATATTTTTGCGGGTGTTTCAGTTTTTTGAGTTGGAATCTTTCTAACTCCTCTCGGGGGTCTTGGGAATGCACATGATTAGTCTTGCTTTGGGTGTCAACTTAGTTGACATGCTTAGTTTAGACAATGATGCAACTTCTTTCCAAGTTACTTGTAACTTCTATTTTTTCTCTATCTAATAAAATTGTTTGTTTGTTTGCAATTCCGGAAAAAAAAAATCAAAAAATTAAAATCATAATCAAAATCAAAATCAAGCCTACAGGCCAAGTCGATGGGCCACCTCTCATGAGCCAACGGGCTGAGAATAGGTTTATTTTTTTTTTTTTTTTATATTTTCTAACAGGTTGTCTATCACAAGTCAATGGACTACGTTGGTGGGCATGCTAAGGGCTGCTTATCATAGACTGATGGATCGGTCCAGACTTCAAACCCTAGGCATAGACCGAACCTCGTTCGATCTGGGTTTGGGTTGGTAAAAACATGTTTAGTCGAGCTGCGAGCTATCTAGTCAAATGATGACCCTTAGGGGTGTGCTCTTGCTCAACCACACAATCGAGCACACTTTAGGTGAAGCTTTCAAGATCTGACCGAAAAAATAAATAAATAAATAAAAGCAAAAACAAAAAAATTGAGTGCGCATGAACTTAGAATTAAGCATACTGCAGATTAGAAGTTGAACCTTCAAAACATGGAGAAATTATTTAATAATTTTGACATATTGTTTCACACCATTCATATTAAGATACTTATCATATATCTCCTAAATAGAAATATAAAAATGATGAGTCCTACTATTGTAACTAATAAAATTAAGGGCAAATTACATATACCCCCTTGAGGTTTAGATAAATTACAAATACCCCCTTGAGATTTTGGAAATTATATCCCGCCCCCTGACAATTAACTCCGTTAACCCATACAATAAATTGACTAAAATGCCCTCATGTCAAGTCAATACTTGCATTTTATACTAAAAACAATTAAACTTCTTTTTTTTTTAACCAGGTTCAACTTCCACTTTCTTCATTTCTTTATCTGGGAGAGAGACGGAAAAGGCATTGCAAAGAGGAAAGTGAGATCTTTATCTGAGAGAGAGACGGAAAAGGCATTGCAAAGAGGAAAGTGAGATCTTTATCTGAGAGAGAGACGGAAAAGGCATTGCAAAGAGGAAAGTGAGATCTTTATCTGAGAGAGAGACGGAAAAGGCATTGCAAAGAGGAAAGTGAGATCTTTATCTGAGAGAGAGACGGAAAAGGCATTGCAAAGGGGAAAGTGAGAGTATTGTTGTTTATTGTTGGATGCATAGATCTAAAAGAAGAAAAGACCACAAAAAGAAGTTTAGATCGTTGATTGAAGAAAAATCTGAAATTTGTAAGTGATCCATTTTTACTCTCATACTAAGCATTGAAATTTGAGGGTTTAGGATTCTTTGTTCATGATTTTTTTTTTTTATAAAATTTGTTTTAGGATTATTTGCTTATGAAATTTTGTGAGTCTTTAATCGATTTTTTTGGGTTTGTATTTTACCCTGTTCAAAAAAAAATTAGGGTTTAAAGATTTGTTTTTAATCTATTTTAGGGCTTTTTTTTTTTGGGTTTCTTCCTACCTTTTTTTTAATTAAAATTTTGGGGTTATAGGGTTTGTTTTCAATTAGTATTTTAGGGAATTTTTTTTTATTTGTTTTCTACTCTTACTTTTACTAAAATTTTGGGTCTGTTTCAATTAGTATTTTTGGGAATTTATTTGGTTTGTTTTCTACTCTTTCTTTTACTAAAATTTCGGTTTAGGTGGTTTTTTTTGGTTTATTTTCTACTCTTTTATTTACTAAAATTTTGATGTTGTAATGTAAGCTTGTTATGTAGATGCCTTCTGATATTCATGAATTTTGTGATGATTTTTTTGTATTTAGGACAATGGTTGATCCCATGCTTCATGACATACTAGTACACTTTAATGGTTCTGTAAGTCACATTTTGAATGTTAATCCTTACAAGTATAACTACATGCAATTGTTGGCTGATGCTTGTGAAGCTACACTCACTAATGTACCTAGGAATTTTGGTGTGGGATTAAATTTGTACTTTACAAACACACACACTAAGAGTAAGATGGAGGTTAAATCTGATCAGGATGTCATTGAAATGTTTAGTTCAAATTATGGTACTAAGGTGATTAATATTTTTCTGGAACTTGATTGACTTTTACCTTCATTTGTCGTAACTGATACTCCTACTAGTGGAGAGGGACACGTGAGTAGTAGTGGCACAAGTACAAGAGGTGGTGTGGTTAGTAACATTGGAAATAGATTGGTAGTATCTGATGATTTATTTAGCAATGTGGATGACTACAATGATGTTGATTGGACTGAGTTAGGGGATTTTGAATTTAGTGAAGCAGATGCTGATGAAGAAAATGCTTATATCATTAGTGGTGAGGATAATGAGGACACTTCAGATAATGATAAGGGTAGCAATGGGTCAGATAAACCGATTGAGGCTAATGATGAGGGGCTATCAGACTATGAATCTGATGATATAGGAGGGAAATATTCGACTGATGAAGAAGATGTGCAAGGTGTTAATGTTGACAGATATATGAGGGGGAAAATGTTTGAAATAAAGGAAGGGGAGAAAATAACATTGGAGAAGGGAATGATATTTGATGATGTGTATCACTTCAGGACTGTGCTCCAGGAATTTGCAATTGAAAAAGGTGTTAAATTGATTAAAATAAAAAATGACAAGAAAAGAGTGACTTGCATATGTGCTTCCTCGATGTGTGAATGGAGAATTCATGCTTCTCCATTACCTGATGGGGTGACATATAAGATTAAGACATTGGGCCCCGACCATACATGCGTTAGAGTAGAAAGGAATACTGAAGCAACATCATCTTGGATTGCTAAGAAGTTTGAAAAAACTCTTTGAGGGAATCCTGGGATCACTTTAGAGGCAATGCATGATGAAATGGCAGAAAATTATGGATTGGAGACTACAAGGATGCAACTGTACAGAGGAAAGAGGAAAGCCATGGAGGCAATTGAGGGTAATTATGCAGAGGCTTACACCAAACTTCCAATGTATGCTGCAGAAGTGTTGAGGACCAATCCTGGTAGTTTGGTCAAAATTGAAAGGGAAAGAAAGCCACCATCTAAGCCAAACTTACCTCCTCCCTTACCAACATTCAAAAGAATTTTTCTTTCATTTGCAGCCATACAACATGGCTTTAAAGAAGGTTGCAGACCTTTCATAGCTGTGGATGGGTGTCATTTGAAGGGACCATTTGGGGGCATATTGTTAGCTGCAGTTGGTCTTGATGGAAATAATGGTCTTTATCCTATTGCAATTGGTGTGGTGGAGAGTGAATGTAAGGATAGTTGGGCCTTTTTCCTTTACCACTTGAACACCATTTTTGGTAATGACCCCCAAAACATGCCATTGACAATCATGTCTGATGGTCAAAAGGGCATTGAGCCAGCCATGAGACAAGTAATACCCCAAGCAACACATAGGAGGTGCTGTAGACACATTTTCAGCAACTTGAAGGGCAAATTCCCTGGTTTAAAGATCAAAAGAGCCTTTTGGGCTGCAGCTAAAGCTTACACTGTCAAGGATTTTAACATTGCAATAGGACAGATGTTGGAGTTATCTTCTGAAGCACATAGCTGGCTTTCTAAATTTCCAGTTGAAATATGGGCAAGACATACATTTGATCATAGGGTGAAGAGTGAACATGTTACTAGCAACATGGTTGAGTCATTTAATAATTGGATTGGTAATGTTAGGGGTAAACCTATCTTGACATTGTTGGAAAATATCAGATTGAAACTGATGAACAAGTTACATAAGAGGTTTGAAGAGGTAGCTTCCTGGCAATCTTTGGTAACCCCTAACATTAAGAAGAAATTGGAGGAAGTGGTTCTTCAATCTAGACTTTGTAAAGTGATTTTTGCAGGACAAGAAGAGTATCAAGTGGCTGAACGTGTGGTGTCTTATATTGTAAACCTACAAAGAAGGTCATGTTGTTGCAGGATATGGGACATAAGTGGAGTCCCTTGCAAGCATGCAACAGCTTGCATTACTCATAAAAGGATAAACTTAGAGACCTATTGTGACACAATGTACTACAAACACATTTATTTTAAGGCGTATGGGGAAATTATACATCCAATGCATGATGAGAGTTTATGGGGTCCAGTTCTTGGAGATGAATTGAAGCCTCCACCTCTTAAGAGGATGCCTGGAAGACCTAGAAAAAGTAGGAGAAGAGAAGTTAATGAGGCTGCACCATCAAAAAGATCATGCACTGTGAAGTGCATCATTTGCAAAGGGATTGGGCACAATAAGAGGACATGCTAGAGGGCACCTATTAGGGGTAGGGAAATGGGAACAAATGAGTCTGCTCAAAGAGGAATTGGTACTGTTGTTGAAAGAAGCACTATTGGAAGGTTCACAGCTACTAAGAGGAGCACTGTTGATGTAAGTATGAATGACAAATAATTATGTTATTTTATTTTATTTTTTCACATGGAATTTGAGGCCATCTAATCCACTTCATTTTTTAGGATCAAGGACAAGATGGGGTGCTTCCAACTCAGTGGAGCATGACTGACTTCAACCATAGGTATGCATGTAATTGCATCATGCATAACACTTAAAATATATTCATTTGTGGTTATTAATGCGTTGTTCTTTGTTTTTTTATTTTTTAGGTGATGTTTTTGTCAAGGAATTGCTTTTTGTATAGGGGATGCTGGAAGGAACTAAAGACTAGGGTATACTTTTTTGTGTAATTAGTGGGTATACTTTTCTAACAATGTCTTCATATTAGTACATATCAGAAGGCATGCATCCTTGCTCACCACAGGTTTTTGAATTAGGTGGGCTACTACTCTTTTATTAACTTGCAAAGTTTTTGTTGGACAAGAATTTGTATCTAAATATGTAATGTAATTAAGTAAATATTTCAGACTTGTATTTTGGTGGACATGAATATTTCAGACTTGTAATTAATTTTGTTGGACATGAATATGTGATTAAGTTAGTATTTCAGACTTGTGTATCTGAATTTTTAAGTTAATATTTCAATTTCAAGCTACTTGAGTGCTCTTTTTTCATTCCTTCTATGTTGAAGAGGATTCCATGGTATTTATTTATTACCCAAAACATAACTATTCACCCCCAAAAAATTAACTGAATAAGTTGTGAATACAAAATTAATTAATTTAATAATTTATGGAATGCAAAATTAAAATGGAAAAACATTTATCAAATGTTAAAAATGTCGTAAAATTAATAAATAATTAAATAAGTTACTAACGTACGAAATGATTTATCAAAAGATTTTTAGGCTATGTATGGTTTGATTTTTAGAAATTTGTTTTCGATTTTTTTAAAAAAATAATAATTAATTTGGTTAAGAAATAAAAAAATAAAAAATAATTATCATTTTTATATAATTTTATCTTTTATGAGATTTCAACCTGTGACCCTTTAATTTTTTAAAAATTAAATATATTTCTTCATATTTATTTTTATTAGATTAGTTTTATTTTTTTTAATAAAAAGTTTGAAATTTTTTTTAAACAACAAACCAAAGGGTTGTGTTCAACGATAATAAGATAAAAAACAAAAAATAAAAAGTTGTTTGTGCTTTGGCACAGGTTGTCTGGTTGTGTTTAAAAATTAATAAATAAATAAAGGGGGTTGTTTGGCATTTTGAAAGGTCCTAGGGGTAATATGGTCCATCAACATAAATTTTGGTGATGTCAACACACTTTTGTAACGGCTTAGTTGACGGCAGAGGTCCAATTGTTACGTGAATATAAACCTCAGGGGGCGTGATGTAATTTCTGAAACCTCAGGGGGGTATCTGTAATTTAACCAAACCTCAAGGGGGTATATGTAATTTGCCCTAAAATTAAAGTTAGGTGACTACTTGCATTTGTCAAACAAAATATATAATTTCCCAAAAACATGCACTCAAAAATGATACTTTCTCTGCATTTTCTGCTCTTTGTAAGCGTATTCAAAATGTGATTAGTTTTACTATTTATAGCATTAGAAGTGATCATGGTAAAGAATTTGATAATAATGAGTTTATTCTATTTTGTAATGAGTATGGGATTAATCATAATTTTTCTACTCCTCGAACTCCTCAACAAAATAGTGTGGTAGAAAGAAAAAAAAGAGTTCTTGAGGAAATGGCTCGTAATATGCTTTGTGAAAATGATTTGCCTAGATGTTTTTTGGCGGAAGCCATCAATACAGCTTGTTATGTTATTAATCGTGCCATGATTAGACCCATACTTAAGAAAGCGCCATATGAATTGTGGAAATGTAGAAAACCCAACATTAGTCATTTATGTGCATTTGGTTATAAATGTTTTATACTTATAACAATAAAGATAATCTTGGAAAGTTTGATGCAAAATCTGATGAAGATGTGTTTCTTGGCTATGCAAATTCTAGTAAAGCTTCTCGTGTCTTTAATAAAAGAACTTTAATCGTTAAAGAATCTATGCACGTTGCTTTTGATGAATCTAACTCATTTTCTTCCAAAAATATTGCTAGTGATGATGGTGCAGATTCTAATCCAAGAATTAAAGGCATTTACTTATCAGAAAATGATGAACTTCACTCTTCTGAACCCAATGTTGAATTCTCTATGGAAGATCTTCAAAAAGAGTATACCCATCCAGTGAAAGAAAATGATCTACCCAAAGAATGGAAGTATGCTTATGGACATTCCAAAGATCTCATTATAGGAGATGCCACACAAGGTGTAAGAACTCATTCTTCTATTCATAATGTTTGTGGCAATTTAGCTTTTATTTATCAAATTGAGCCAAAAACTTTTTCTAAAACTGAACACGATGAAAACTAGATTTTTGCTATACAATAAGAGTTAAATAAGTTTGAAAGAGATGAAGTTTGGTTTTTGACCCCTCATCCTAAGGACCATTCCATTATTAGAACAAAATGGGTTTTTCAAAATAAAATGGATGAATCTGGTGTTGTTATTCGAAACAAAGCTAGACTTGTAGTCCAAGGTTATAACCAAGAAGAGGGCATTGATTTTGATGAAACTTTTGTACCCGTTGCACATCTTGAAGCCATCCGCATGTTGCTTGCATTTGCTTGTTTTAGAGGTTTTAAACTCCATCAAATGGATGTGAAAAGTGCTTTTCTAAATGGGTACATTTCGGAGGAAGTATATGTTGAACAACCTCCTGATTTTGAAAATCATAAACACCCGGACCACGTCTATAAAATTTCAAAAGCTTTGTATGCTTTGAAACAAGCCCCTACAGCTTGGTATGAACGCTTAAGTAATTTTCTTATTGAAAAAGGTTTTTTTCGCTGGAAAATTGATACCACTCTTTTTATAAAAACCAAAAATGATGATATGCTTATCGTTCAAATTTACGTAGATGATATCATATTTGGTGTTTTTAATGTATCTTTATGCAAGAAATTTGCTAAGGATATGAATGGTGAATTTGAAATGAGTATGATGGGAGAGTTAACATACTTTCTCGGATTACAAATAAAACAAACCCAAGATGGAATTCATATGTCTCAAGCCAAATACATCAAAGACATCCTCAAAAGGTCTGAAATGGACTTATCTACACCCGCAGCAACTCTTATGAGCACATCGATTAAAATCAACAAAGATAAGCAAAGTAAACCGGTAAACGAAAAGAAATATCGAAGTATGATTGGTTCCTTACTCTATCTAACTGCTAGTAGACCTGATATCATGATTAGTGTGTGTATATGTGCACGTTTTCAATCAGCTTCAAAAGAATCACACGTCATCGTAGTAAAAAGCAGTTTTAGATATCTTGTTGATACTCCACTTTTGGGTCTTTGGTACCCTAAAACAAATGTTTTTGACCTTTATGATTACTTGGATGCCGACTTTGTGGGATGTAGACTTGACCGAAAAAGCACTAGTGGCACTTGTCATTTTCTTAGAAATTCACTCATTTCATGGTTTTGCAAAAAATAAAATTCTGTTGTTTTATCAACCACTGAAGCGGAATATATTGCTGCCGCTAGTTATTGTGCTCAAATGCTTTGGATGAAACAATAACTTCTTGATTTTAGACTTCACTTTGATCACATTCCTATTAAATGTGATGACACTAGTGCCATCAATCTTTCAAAAAATCGTATACACCACTCATGCACTAAACACATTGAAAAATGACATCACTTTCTACGAGATCATGTACTTAAAGGTGACATCGAACTCGAATTTGTGCCTACAAGCAAACAATTGGTTGATATTTTTACAAAGCCTCTTAATAAGGAACAATTCTACTTTATACAAACTGAGCTTGACATGTTAAATATTACTATGTGATGTTAAACTATGTGTTATTACGCTTTATTGAGAAATTTGCTGTGAAAAACACTAGTTTTTGCTCTTCAGAACCCTTAAGGGTCGACCCCCTGCTCTATAGGGTCGATACCTTGTGAACCAGCCTTGTGTTTTTTATTGTTAAGGGTCGACACCCTTCTTCGCTGGTGTCGACACCAGTTGGTTTCTAGTTCACTGCTTTTTAGGGTCGAAAGGTGTCAACACCTTTCTTCAAAGGTGTCAACACCTGTTGTGTTTGAAGACACTGTTTTTTAGTGTTGACCCCTCTTTCTCTAAGGGTCGACACTTGTCTATGGGTAAGGTTTTTGCCGCGCGGTCCTTTCAACTTAGAAGGGTCGGCCCCTCTCTTTCCAAGGGTCGACACCTTCTGAAGGGTATTTATATACCCAGTGACCCTTCCATTTTCTCTTGCGACACCCATCATATTCCTAGCCCTAGCCCCTTCCTATTCTGGCAACTCTCACCATCGATCCACATTCTGATCTTCATCTATCTCTCTCGCAACCTCTTTTCTTCCTCTCCATGGATCCTCAAGCCCCTCTTCCTGTTCTAACACGAAAGGGACCACGCATCTCCTTCTCTTCCACCGACGTCACTGCTTCTCCTCATGTGCTTCAGTTCAAGAACCCTGAGTGCAGATCTGCTTTCAACAAGGACTTCAATCTAAGAAAGGTACTCTCTGGTCGCACAATAGACATCGCATTATTTGAAAAACATTCCATTATTATCAAAGGTTGGTTTGAAAATAAAAAATGGTCATCACTTTTAAAACTTGACTGTGATGTTTACCCCACTCTCATCAAACAATTTTTTGCAAATCTCTCATATGATGAAGAAACTTCTCCTCATACCCTCGACTATTTTGTAACAGGTGTTCCTTTCTTTTGACACCCTCTGTCATTAACTACATTCTAAAAACCTCCAATGATGGATATAGGGTCACTTTATCAGTGGCTCTTAAACCACCCCAATACTCTCATCTTATTGGTCTCAGATTTCTCACAAATAACCCTGATTTAACTCATCATATCACTGTCTCTGGGAAAAACATTTCCCTTGAAATAAGACTGTTACATCACATCATCATACACAACATTACTCCTCGCTCCGGCCGCTTTGATGCCGTCACTTATGGTCACACTTATCTTATCTAGGGCCTATCCACCGGTTTTCTCACTGATTTCGGATTTTTGGTGGTTCATTGTATCATCAATGCTCATAAACAAAATAATCAAACCCTTCCATATGGAATGATTTTCACAAAGATTTTCAAGCATTTCAAAATTGATCTTAAGGAGGAAGAAAAAGTCCCTAGAGACCCTTCTTCTTATGGGTCTGAAACACTGAGAAATATGGGGTATTCTCTAATCAACAACGTCTAAACCAAGACAACAAAAACTGGTTCTTTCCCTGGTCTCTCTACCCCTAGCTCTTCCCTTCTCAGTCCTTCCACCCTTCATTTCTCTACCCCTGGTCCTTCTACTCCGTCACCTCCTTCTGACCTCTCATCTCTCTCTCTTTCTCTCCCTCTCACAAAATCAACCATCTTGACTTCATGGTTCAGGGTCCCTTGTTAGATGGGATTGCTTCAATCAATTTGTGGCTTAATAATCCAAACCTCAATTCCTAATCCATTCCTGCCTCTGACATTCCCTCATCCTCCCACTCTGTCCCTGTTTCATCCTCCT